GCAGAGCTCAGGGCATGGCCCCAACCTCACTGGCGCATGGCAGGTCCATGTCTACACCACAGCCTGTCCATATAACTCCAGGTGAGTCATTAGGTTTCCCAGAACTAAGTTAGGCCTTAACTGTATCATAGGAATAGTATCTCCTTGAATGAGATTTCATGAGAATCCACCCAAGTAAAGCTCAAGCAGTTATACAATCGGTGCTTAATAAGAGCAGCAGCAGCTGCTGCAGCAGCAGCAACAAACACCATGGCTGCCAGTCCCATTGTTTGTCACTGTCACCATCATGGTCCTCAACACAGAGGATGACTCTGAATCTTTACACCCCAAATTCCAAGCCCAGTCCCATTTCTGCCCCCACCTCTGGCCTGCTGGCCTTTGGGAGATGCCCCCCCAAAACGTACCACAGTGCCCAGAGCAGGAAGAAGAGGAGAGCTGAGGGGAGGGTGAACTTGAAGAGGCCCCCTCCCCCACCTGGATCCATGGCCACCAGCCAAGAGACAGTATTCCGGGGGTAGGCGTGGGAGGCAGGGGGGCTCTACTCTGGGGGGAGGGCATGGGCCCTGCCAGACGTCCTCAGCTGACCCTGTCTGTCGCCCCCGCTGACCGCCGGCAGTGATCACCCTGCTCATCATCCTGAGGCGGCGGCTGCGGAAGCAGGCGCGCGCCCACGGCAAGAACGTGCCTGAGATCCACGAGCAGCTGGTCACCTATGATGAGGAGGGCGGCGGAGAGATGGACACCACCAGCTATGACGTGTCAGTGCTCAACTCGGTGCGCCATGGTGGCGCCAAGCCCCCGCGCACAGTGCTGGATGCGCGGCCCTCCCAGTACGCACAGGTGCAGAAGCCACCGCGCCATCTGCCGGGGGCACACAGTGGCGGGCCCGGCGAGATGGCTGCCATGATCGAAGTGAAGAAGGACGAAGCGGACCAGGATGGTGGCGGACCGCCCTACGACACGCTGCACATCTACGGCTACGAGGGCTCCGAGTCCATCGCCGAGTCCCTCAGCTCCCTGGGCACCGACTCGTCGGACTCCGACGTTGACTACGACTTCCTCAATGACTGGGGCCCCAGGTTCAAAATGCTGGCTGAGCTATACTCAGATCCCCCGGAGGAACAGTGGTATTAGGAGGCGGGGAAGGGGCACCACCCAGGCCGATCGGACACTTAAGCCTCGCGGGTCCTTCAAGAGTAACCCTGACTCCCCAGCCTGGCACCCTCCTATAGCCCAGGAGTGGGGGGGAAAGGCACCAGAGACCTGACCATCTCCTAATAGGTCCAGGTCTCAGGAATGTGCTTCAGCTGTAGCCAGTCTACTGTCCTGTCTGGGCTGGGACAGCCCACATGGCCCTCACGTGAGCACACGTGCACGCACACACAACGGAACACAGACTTAAGGCTCTGCAAAGCTGCAGAGTCTAGCAGCCTGTGTTCAGTTGCTGAGTTCCTGGCTCCTGTCTGCCTGGAGGCAGGGGGATGGACAGCAGGACCCTTGGAAAGACTCAAGGGGCTGAGCCACTTCGGCAGACCTCCAAGGGACACTGCTCCTATGCGTCCACCTGTCTCTCCCACTCACAGAACCCTGTCACACCCACCCCTGCTAAGCCTCTCCCACGCGTGTCAAGAACAAGGAAGGCACCACGTGGCAGCTCCCCACCTTGGGTCCTGATATGTTCTCACAGACTGGCCAGACCCAGTCCCTGTGCTGTACTGAGCATCCATCCATTCAGCCAGATACAGGGAAGCGGCTTGTGGAACCTGAAGCAACTGTGAATTCATCCTGGAGAGATAGTGGTGACCACATGTGATAGATCATGGGCAAAGGAGGGCACCTCTACACCCTGCATGGCCAGAGGGGCATGGAGAAGCTGAGACCAAACTTCACACTCATCCACACCCCTCCAGTTCAGCCTAGGCGTGTGTGAGGAAGCAGGTGTCTTTGGAGAAGAGGTCGCTCCTGGTTTCTCCTACCTGGCTCTGACTGTACCCTTTGTTTCACCTCTCCCTGACCCTGCCATCTCTCAGAACTAAGTCCATCCACTCCCTGCCTCCCACCCCTACCTCGCCCCTGCTGCCATGTAGCCTTGAGCACAGCAGGCCAATGCCCCCACCTCCATATACAACGCTAAATGTGACTAGTGACATAGTCAGGCCACTTGCCTTTACGTCTTGAGGTGGCCACATCTCAGGGAACCAACCCCTCAGGCCCACCCTTGCAGAAGGCAAGGCCCCGCCCCAGCTCCATGGCACCTGCATGGCTCCCACTGTCACCCATGTAAGGAATATCCTACTGCCAGCCTGATATCATTAGTCCCAGAGAGGGCAGCAAAGGGGTGACTTCTGCTCTTCCTTCTTTGTGGACTGACCCTGGCCCAGGCCCCTTGCACTCCAGGGGGTTGTAGATATCTCCAACTTGTTTTAATCAATAACTTTTTTATTATTATTATTTTTTACTAATAGTACTCACAAGTTTCTAGCTCTCACAAACGTATAGAATAAGACTGTTCGCATGATGTTGTTATTTTAGGTTAACAATTCGGGATTTTTAGAGGGAGGAACAAGTCCTGTATCCTTTTGCTTCCTATTATTATAGTAGATGCCCTACAGGGACAGACTGTATCTGTTGGCCACACTGGTGCATAAGACGTACTGTATTTTTTATACTTAAATAAATTTTTTTTAATCTTGGGATTCTTACAGTTCTGGAGCTGAATATGTATGTATGAAACACTTATGCGTGCATGCAGTCATATTCCTGCATCTCAAAACACACACACAGACACACGCACCTCCACCACCATCATCAAAGGAATCCAAAGGGAAAAGGCATTGGCAGCCACTATAGAAAGGAGATTGAAGCAGAGGAAAATGGGAGCCCTGGCTGCTTCCCCCACCCCCACCAAAGCCTTCACTCAGCCCCAGAGCATGCCCCCCACCACCACACACACACTCCAACTCTACAAAGCAAGTCAGGGCTGCTGGGACTCGAGGCTGCAACATTGTTTGCATTTCGGCCAATAAGAAGCCAGGGTTTTCTCTGGGCAGGGGCACAGCCCAGCACACTGAAGGAACCCCAAGCAGTTCATGAGGAAAGAGGAATTATAAGATAATGCAAAATTTCCACCAAAGTTTGGAAGCCACTCTATGTATATAAGCATCTAGATTCCCAGGAATATGCCAGAGCTTTCCAAAGCATCCTATGGACAGCCTATACTCCAACTTTTCCTTGTAAATTTTGAGGATAAAAAGTAAACGTAGGGCCAGCTTCTGGCTTGCCCCAGATGTCATCTTCAATGTCACATAGTCGCTGCTGATTGTTTTCAACCAACACTCCCCAGCCCCAGGAGAAAAGGCTGGAGCCAGAGTGCTCCAGGCCAGGTCAACACAGCCTTCAAGGGGAGGGGGTCTATCTGGGAACCAGCTATTGATACAAGGTGACCACAGGTCTGGGGCAAGGAGGGTGGGGCTGGGACAAGTTAAACTGTCACCAAGTTCTCCATCACTACCAAAAACTCACTTGTGTTCATGGACTCGGCCCTCAAGCCAGATTGTTGCACATTTTTTATTAGTCTCAAAATCCCAAAACGGAAACACTTGGTTTTGACCACTTCTGCCAGGACTGTGTGTGTGCAGGAGAGGCGTTCTATAGGCTCTGCCACTCCTGCCATCACCTCCTCAGGAGGGTTTTTAAGCCCAGCAATTCCACCTGCCTGAGGCTCCTGTTTCCCAAATCCACAGCTGCCCATGTGCTCTGTCCACTAGATCCTACCCCAGGTCACAGGCACCTCCAATGAGGAAGTCCCTGTCGCTCCCTCCCTCCAGTGGGGCTTGGCTCTCGACTCCACCTGCCCTGTCTGGCTCCCGCATAACCAGGTGGGGGAGTGATGATCCTCCTGAAGGCCAAGGATCTGCCTTTGAATCTGGAAGCTCCAGTGGACACAATGGTGGGACCCAAACCCAGTGACTCCAGAATCTCCTGACCACATTCTACCGGCTAGCTTCACCCAAGTGGACAAGAGAGAGGCTGTGAGCCCTTACCGCTCCCCTCCAGGCCAAATCTTTGAGACCCTTCTTATTTCACAGACGACCAAGGGGAGGCCCAGAAGAGGGGAACCCAGGTGGCTTCCCCATACCTGAGGGCCAACAGCATGCAAGATGCAAAAATACCGTGGAGCCTGTTGGGGGGGTGGGGGGGAGGGAGGCTGCTGAACACGAACACTAGAGGGCGCGCTGGATCAAGAGATGCCTGGCCGGGGCTGGGGCACCAGTGCTGTCCTGCAACTCGTCCTGGGGTTCTGGGGGTCCCGCACCTTGATCAAAAACTTACGTCAGAGAGGTGGCCACGGGCCCGGCCAAGCAGCCAGGTTGGTTTGCTCTCCACTCCTTTGCACCAGGTTGTGATGAAGTAAGGAGAGCCTGACCCACCAGGGCAGTAGGCACAATGGGCAGATCCCGGGACTTTGGAGGGCTGTGGTGCATCCCCTGCGTGGCCTGTGCTGGGGCATTCTGCCTCAGGTGCCACCCCAATCTCAACCCCAAACCTTCTCTGCCCTCCAGATGATGCTGGGCCCACCTTCCTGAGGGCCCAGATGCCAGGTGCCTCCTTTATCCTCGATCCTTAATGGTCAGGCCAATGTGCTCCAGGTGGGAGCCCCACCTATCGAGCAATCCTGCCCTAAGGACTGGCCTGTGAGGTGCACACAGGTGTATCTGTTAACAGACCAAAGGAACTGAAACAACCTAAGAGCCAGCTGGGGTAAACAAAGTCAGGGGGATGGCAGATCACCATCCAAGTCACCTTGTGCCCAGGGGACCTGGGGTTGAACTCAAGGCTGAGCAAGAAAGCAGAACTCAATCCGTGGCTTATCCATCCCCGCCCCCAAGAATATCGCCATCTCCGGGCTGTGGCATTATCTTTTTTCTTCTGTATCCTGTGTTTCCCATAATCAGCATGTATTAACTTGAAAGTAAGAAAACAACATTCACTTTCATCTGTAAACACTTTCTTATAACTGAAAAACACCAACTCTAGGTCAATTCCATCCCCAACTATTATTTCAGATCAAAAGGCTTTGCTTTCTTAAGAAGATAAACAATTTTTAAATTAGTTACATCGCTTGTGAAGTCATGGTCCTTGAACCCAGAAATGTTGTGGGGGACTCCTTACCTTCACGGCTCTCTGACCCTGGTCACACCTCAGAGCCTTCAGCGTTCTTGAGCTCCACCTCTCCCGCAGCTTTCTAGACTAGAACCACCACAATCCATGGGGTGAAAGACACCACGTTTACGGCTGCGTGGGCCTCGGAGGCACCTTCCACGCTCGGACCCACTGACAGCTTGCTTTTCACAGCTGTGAGGTAAGCAGCTGGGGCCTGTTTCTCAGCCCAGCTAGAGGCTTTCAGGAAATTTGCGTGTGCAGTAAGACCTAGAGATCTCCACAGGACTCTGCCATGTGCGTTTCTAGTCCAGGGTGTGGGAAGCTGTGTTAACCTGGGATACACCTGGGTATTGGTTGCTGTGGGGGGAGGTTTGATGTTACACAGGAAGTTTTAACGCTGAGCATAGGAGGTTGCATTTCAGGTGAGGACTCTGAGCAGGAAGTGAATCTTCACATCGAAGAAAGCAAAGTAACTTCTACCTTTGGATTCAGGGAACCAGAGAAGATTATCTTCTGGTTGAACAGAGCGAGTCTTGCAGGCCCTGGGGCACCAGGCTGGCCAAGCCATGCCAGGGGCACAATGCAGAGCTCACAGTGTTTTGCTGAGTGAGGAATGATGCAGGGAGTTTGCAGACAAGAACTTGAGAATCTGGTGGCAACAGTGTCAGCATGGGTCGGACAGGACAGACGGCTTCTGTGCAGCTGGACACAGCGGGGCCATCCTTGATGGCCAGGCAGGGCTCTGGGGAGTGACAGATTCAGCCTGGCTTGCACGGGGCTACCTGGTTTTAGTTTGAAATTCTGCTGTCTTGAGAAGCCTCTCGGGCTCAGGCCGGCTGAGCTCTTCAGGAGTCAGCACTTTGCACCTGCAGGCAGGACAGAGATGTGCTTGCTGATGTCTGGGAGCCACAATGGTCTGTGTGTCTCTGAAGGCAGGGAATGTTATGACACCTGCTCCACGGGCTATAAAAGGAAAGAGATCTTGGAAATAGAATGGAACTCTAGCACCATCTCTCTCCTCCTTCTCAGGGCATCCATCTCTACCTCACTCCCAACATAATTTTCTATCTCCCTGCCCTGACTCTGAGACTTCTACACAGGGTCAAGCCTGCCTCACCCCAGTGACCCTGTGACTAGCCCAGCACCTGGTCCAGGGCAAGCAGACAGATGAATGAGTGAAGCAGAGAGCTTCCCAAGCAGGTTCTCTCCAAGTCAAGCCTTCACAGCTGCTGCTTCTCCCCATCCCCCTCCTTCCTTCCTGATTCTTCTAAATCCTTGAGCATCCGCTGCCCCACCCCTACCCATCCCTGCCACGAGGGAGTCACTCCCATCCCCCCTGCTTCCCACCCATTCAATATCTCCTTCTAACCGACTCCCTGTCCCATGGCATCAAGGTTCTCTCTAGTCTGTCCTCACTCTGAGAGCACCCTGAGGGCAGCGGGGCCTGAATCTGCCACATCTGGGTACATCTGGAACCTGCCTCCATCCAAGGTTCACACACATGGCTAGTCACCAAATGAACTCTGATCAGGGACTCAGTGATGGTAAGACAAACACCCAAGGTCAAGAAACACTTTTAGCCTTCCCTGTCTAACTGACCCCTGCTCTGGAAGACCCCAGGAAAACCAAGCAGCAGAGGAAAAGGAGCTGGCAATCTTGAACTTGACCTGAAGGCCGACCTCAGAAACCTCCAGCTTCTGGAAACCAACCAGGTACAAAGCCTAAGATTTTATGCAAGCAATGAGTATACTCACCCAAGGAGTAAAGGTCCTAAGAACAAAGGGACCCTGAAACAAAAGAACATGAAGCAGGAACTGGCAAAACCCACAGGATCCAATAACATTATAGCAGTGTCAACCTCCTGGTTTTCCCATTGTAACATTGTTCCAGTGTGAACTTCCTGTTAACCATTGTGTTGTGGTTACTTAAGTTGCTAACATTAGGGGGAGCCACTTCCAGGGTACATATGAACTCTATACAGTTTTTTTTTGGGGGGGGGGTTGTTTTGTTTTGTTTGCTTTTTAAATTTTCTCCAAGTCCAAAATTATCTTAAAGACTGTTTTTGCTTCATCTTCTAAAGGACTTCTATGCAGCCAGCGACATCCTGGTATGAATGAAGTCTTCCACCAAACCTGGTTTTGCTGAATGGTCCATGAATGTGGCTTCTTTAATTAGCAATCAGAGATATTGTTCTCAGAAACCTACAGCTCTTCCACGAAGCCTAGGAGGCTCAGTGGGAAGGAAGAGGAAAGCTAGGCATGACATCTTGGGAAGCGGCATGGAGAGCCAGAGGACAAGCATTAGGCAGTTCGAAGCCACTGGATGCCAGGACAGATGAGCCTCCAAACCCAGACAGTTCAGCACAGTCACTGGTATCTTTGTGAGCTCCTCTGTGAATCTGGTTATGTGCCACCCCGAGCTGAGGACAGAGCATCAGACAACACTCAGGTCCTCCCCACTAAAGGCTCCCCCAACAGGGCAGCAAGGAACTGAAATGCACACATGGTATATTACAGGATCCTGGATGAAAGATCTGTCTGGCCAGGGAGACAAGGTTAGCGAAGCCACCAAAGTAAGGGGTGTTTGGATACTACAGGTGGTAAAAGGAAGTGAGGAGTCGAAATAGAACCCAGAAGTGAACAGAGACCACATTAGCTCCTTAAGAGACAAGCACTGTAGCACAGTCAGTTAAGAAATAGTTAAGGTGCAACCCCCACAACCCACTGGAACGCAGGTTCAAATCCCAGTGCTCTGCTTCCAATCCAGCTCCCTGCTGATGCACATAGAAAAGGCAGCAGGTGATAGCCCAAGTGTTTGAGCCCCTGTACCCACTTGAGAAACAAATGATCCAGGAGGCCGAGGAGACAGAGCTGAAGCCATCACTCCCCACTGCCCTGAATAGTTACCCAGACTTTCCCCAAGTACCAAGCTCAGCTGCTTGTGGTGGGGTAGGGGGTGATTCACAACAGCACAGCTAACTTTTCCTGGGCACGACTTCTCCCAGAAGCTTTTTAAGTTCATCCCACTCAGCTCAGTACCAACAGACACAGGTGGGTTCTCCCAAGGGCAGACACAGGGGCAAGCCAAGCCCCACCCCAGCTTTAATGTTGCATTCTGGGATTCCTCATTCCTCCCAGTTGGGGGTGGAGTGTATAAGCAATGTGGGGACAATCTCCAGATCTGAAAGTCACTAGGCTCTCTAGAGGGAGGACCAGGTCACAAGGAATAGGGGCAAGCTCCAACTGATTCTTCCGGTGCGGGCCACAGACTGAAGATGCTGAAGAGAGCCCTAGGGGTTGCCTCCCGAAAGACCCTACCGTGGGACCGAGGTCCTGAAAGACAAGGTTGGCCCTGGGACATGGCGGGGGGGAGGGAAGTAAATGGCAGAAGGAGGTTTGAAACTCAACCCTCTGCCTCCTACCAGCTCCCTTGAGCACCCTGCAGTTTCTGGAACTTTGACAAAGCAAGGTTCTGGGGTGCCCCAATTGGTCCCTTCCCTATGTCCCCTGCCCACCAAGGTTTCACAAGGGTACCATGTACCCACTACACACCTGGTCAGCCTCCTGCCCCTCTGTCCTCTGAAATGAACAGTGGAAACACCTCATAGACACACACACACACGTTCTATGGCTGGCTGCTGCAGTTTAGTTTATTCATGCATCATCTTCTAGAAAGAATCAAAGCTGCTCAAAAACACACACTGTATAATGTTTCCTGTAATGAATAAAGAGCATCTCCACTTCTTTAAACCCCAGGGAGCACATGAGGACAAACGAAACATCAGTGTAACAACGTCTTAAAACAAGGGAGTGAGTTGAAACAGAAGAAAAAGATAGGAAACAAGAGCAAGCCCAGGATGGCACCAACAGACACAATTCCTGCACTTGGCCCTGGGTTGACCTCTCCCCATCCCCACCCCCAAAACTGACTTCCCTCTGAGTCACCAAAGAGGGAAGCATTGTCTGTTGCAAGTCACAAAACTCAAAAATAACAATAATGTGAAATTCCAAAAAACTCATTAAGAAGAAGTGAAACTGGAGAAAAAGCTCTCTCATGAACTGTAGAAAATATCTGTTTCTTCCATCTTCCGGTTGTTGACGCTATTGATTTGGGTGGATAATACATGAAAATGGGACATCCTTTAAAAAACTAAAGTATTAGCACAAAGAACATGCAACTGCGCCCCCAGCACCCCCAGCAGCCTTGCAGCCTCCGTGCAGTCCCCATGTTGTCACCCCAGGGTTCAGCATGGCCAGGACCTCCAGCTCTGAGACCTGCTTTTCCTGCTTCTGCGACTGGTGTGCACACAATCACACGGCCTGTGTTTGTGAGTCATGTATGTCATCACCCGCAGTTGTAAAAGTCCAAGCTCATTGCTGTAATGTCGCCATCACATGACCCTGCCATCATTCCCTCTCCTGCAATGAGCAGATCCCTTCTTCCCTGGACAGGACAATGCAAAAGCTATTGCAGGTGGCAGGCAGATATGTGCATAGGTGCTACCTCTGTTTATCATTGCTGAAGTGCTTGGCTTCATGAGATGCCAACTTGAACTCTCTCAACTTTTCAATGAGACTCCCAGCAGCATCTGAAACTGTCCATCTGGCAGCTGACATGATTTTTGAACACTGAAGTCTATTTTTGTAACCAGAGATGCCTCAGTCCTATGGCCAGGGGCGGGGAGAGCAAAAGCAAATAGAACACTTGTAAGGGGCCCAGTATCATGGCTCAACGGGCTAATCCTCCACCTCCTATTACCAGGATCCCAGAAGGGTACCGGTTCATGTCCCAGATGCTCCACTTCCCATCCAGCTCCTTGTAGTGAGGGATGGCCCAAAGCCTTGGGACCCTGCACCCACATGGGAGACCTGGAAGAATCTCCTGCCTTAGGATCAGCTCAGCTCCAGCTGCTTGCAGTAATTTGTGGAGTGAACCAGCAAATAGAAGACATTTCTTTTTGTCTCTCCTCTCTGTAAATTCTCTTTCCAATAAAAATAAATAAATGTTTTAAAAAATAAAGTTATGAGTTTTTTTCTTTTGCTCTTGTAGATTTTCAACATTTGGAGGCAACACTGATGGCAAATGTACAGTGTGTCAATTGCACACGTTGACTATACTCTTTCAGTTAATCCCAGTAATGACCATGTGAGATTAATCGACATTTATTTCTCTCATTTTTCAATTCCTTCATCCTCAATAATTAGCACAGCAGCCAGTACCAACCAGGTCCTCTATAAGTGCTCATTAAACATGATAATGAATGAATGAATAACAACAGCTACCATTGAAGAGTATTGGGCTCTTAGTATATCCCAAGCACTGTGCCAATGCCTACATCATTACAGTATTTAATCTTCATAACAAACAAGGCACTTCCAAGCCCCACTGCCTCTAAGAGCTACCCTCTGCTCAGCCACACTCGCGTGCCAGCTGCCATGTTTGTGCAGAATGGCCCCACCCCCTTGATCACAGTTGATTGGGCCAGGGGTGGACAGCCAGTGCATCTCTGCCAATTTTGTCCTGCCTTGAGAATTTGGAATTATGATTGCAGATAGCCAGATACTGCCACTTAGAGCTAGAAGCAAAATTCTATGCACTGACTTCCTAGTGTGGATTTTTCTATGGAATAAATGGAAGCAGAGGGTTGACAGGAAGAGAAATGAAGTGACCGAGCAGAGAAGCAGAGAGAAGAGTTTGGCCTGGGTTCCTGAATGTTTCTCTGTTTCTCACTTAAGTCCTCAAAGAGCTCAGACATGGGTTCTAGCAAACCCTCTTTTGTTGATTAAAATGGTTCAAGTGGTTACTACCAAAAAAAAAAAAAAAAAAAACAAACTAACCAGGACCAGCATTGTGGCACAGTGAGTAAAGCCACCACCTGCAACTCAGGCACCCTATATGAGCCAGAGTTCAGAGTTCAAGTCCCAGCTCTCTCACCTCCAAGTTAGTTCCCAGCTAACAGGCCTGGGGAAAGTAGCAAAGGACAGCCCAAGCACTTGGGCCCCTGAACTCCCATGGAAAAAAGGTCCTGGCTCCTGGCTTCTGCCTGGCCGATCCGTGGCTGCTGTAGTCATTTGGGTAGTGAACCAGCAAATAGAACATCTCACTGTCTCTTCCTCTCATAATCCTACCTTTCAAATAAATATTCTTTGATTCTAAAAGAATAACTAATGTACAATAGGTAAATATTATTTTCCCATTCCTTAGATAAGTTATTGAGGCTAATGAGAAGTAATATGACTTGCCCAAGGCCACCCATCCAGAGACTGGCAAAGGCTTGAACCCAAGCCCTTCTAACTCTGCCACCTGAGCTGTTCACACATTGGTGGACATCTGTCTTCCCACTGCCGCAAAAACTCTTGGGTGCTAAGCTCAAGTCTGACCCCCTGTAGCAGATCCATGGGGACTGAAACTACCACAGACCCTTGGAGAACAACCAGATGGAGATTCCACGGAAACCAGGGGCGACATCATTGGCTAAATTGGCAACATCATTGACTAAAGGAAATGAAACGGTTCTGAGGTTATAAACTGCAGAGGCAGAAAGTGGGACATGAAACTGCCGAGGAAGCCCTGGTGCCCAAGGTGGACAGAAGCAGGAAGAAAAGTCTTTGGCAGCCCTATAGCGGGAGAGAAGCCACCTGCGCCTACAGTCCTCACAGTATGTGCTGCACCAGCAAGAACCCTAAATCCTCCTCACCCACAAGCTTCAGTGTGGCTGCACCGGTGGGGTGAGGAGTGATTTTGGATCCTGATCTCTGGGCTGGCCCGAGTCTTCTGCAGAGGCTAGCCCAGCACTGAGCCCTTCTGTACACAAATGTCCCCTCCGGTCATCCACATGACAGCAGAACCCGACCACACCATCCTTCCTCAAGCCCTCCCATGGCTGCCAAGGCCTTCATCCTGTCACTCGAGGCTTTTATGACCCAGCTTTCCACATGTTGCTTATCACACACCACTAATTCACATTCAGCTTCACTCCCAATATCCCAAGCCTCCTACATCCCTGGACTCACTGTGGCCTCTCAATGCTCCCCTCCTCATTGTACACACTAGCTATTCCCTCTCCTGGAACATCTCACTTTACCCCGTCCAGCCAGCGAAATCTCCACTGAACTTGAAGCTCCATGCAAGAAGCACAACAGGCCAGATTGAGCGCCCTTTCTTGGCACACAGATCTGGCCCAGGAAGCAGCCTGTTCTGTGACCACTGGGCATGAGCTCTAACCTCCTAACAGGCTGCGGCTCCTGGAAGACACACCCTGCAGAGTCTGTGACCGGGTCACTGCCCTCCCACACCATCCTCCCACACCATCCTCCCTGCTCCTCTTACCCCTCCACACCTTCAGCTCTTCCTGCCATGCTTTGTTTTCAAGAAGTTCTTCCCAGACAGGTGCAAGCCTGCAAGTCTGACCTGCCAGTTCCCTTCACCTCTTTAAATCCCAGTGTCCTCATCAATAAATTGGGGTTAGGAGTGGTTTGGCCACAGGATGTGTCATCAAGTCATGCATCAAACTGACCGGGGCACACCTCCTGCAGCAACCCCTCCCCCCACACAAACACCTGCCAGGAAAGTAGGAGAGGCTGAAGGTGCAGACTGGGGCCACACAGGGTGATGAAAGCAAGCCTGCTGGTTGCTCCGGGGCCCATTTGAAACCCTAGTGCCCCAGAACTTACCTGCCAGCAACTGGGCAAGGGAGCCCCTCTACCTGCCGTCCGGTCTCCACTTTGCCTTGGGTTTCTGCCCTGGCCAGGGGTCCCCTGCCCAAGTGCGTCCGACCGCCTAACTGCCCCTTCCTGACACCGAGTGTGTGCCCATCCTTGTTAGCATGTGTCTGGGTGGCAGCCCTTCCCTGTCCCCGTCTGTCAGTGTGTCACTCTCTGTGCACGCCTGTCTGTCCTCCCCGCTCCTGTCTGGCTGGCTGACTGGCTGGCTGGCTGGCGCGGGCTGTGGCTCACCGCCTGCCCCGCCTGCCGCCGTGTGGGTGTCAGGCTGGCTGTGCGCAGAGAGGCGCGGCTCGGCCCTCCCCCTCGCCCGCGGCCCCGACCCCGGCCGTGGCGCAGCAGCGCTGAACCCAGGAGCCGAACGGCCACCGCCGCCGCCGAGGGAGCCCGAGCCCGGTGACGGTGGCGTAAACAGTGGCTCGGGGACAACAGGCGCCCGGGCAGGGCTGCCGCAGGGCAGGGTCGGGCCGGGCCCGGGTCCCCGGGAAACCTCCACCGCCGCCGCTGCCGCCGCTTGGTCCCGGGCTCGCGAGCGGCCGGTGCGCTCGGCCCGGCCCCGCCTCGCCTCGCCGCCCCGCCCCTGCGCGCCCAGCAGCCCGAGGCGGAGCGGCGCGCCCCCCGCGACGCCCGAGCTCGAGCCCGAGCGCGGCGGCATCCGAGCAGGACCCGGAGCTGGAGCTGGAGCCGGAGCCGGGGCCGGAGCGGGGACCGCAGCGGGGGCCGAAGCTGGAGCCGGCACTGCGGCGCACGGAGCGGAGCGCGGCAGCCAAGCCAAGTAAGGGGCGTGGGGGCCGGGGGGTACACTGGGGAACGGGGCCGGCTGCCTTCCCCGCGCGCGGCGGCGACAGCGGCTGTCGCACAGAGCCGGGGGCGGCGCGCGGCGCGCGGCGCGGCGGCGGGTGGATGCGCGGTCCCGAGGGCACCGCAGCGCGCTTGGAGGGAAGCGGGATCCTGGGACTCTTGACGGACCCCCGGCCCTTTTCCCGCTCCCACCCCTGCCAGGCGGCCCACCGAGATCCGGCGCGGGCAGACACTGCCCCGAAGCCCGCACCTGGGCCTCGGAGAACGGGAGCTGCCCCTGCAGGCTTCGAAGCTCCGACGCGCATTCATCCATCCAGCGTAGGGGTGGGGTGGGGAAGAGGATGCGAGATTCGAGACCGTCTTCCCGCCCTCGGTTTGGGGGACCCTGGAGTGTCCCAGCAAGGAAGGGAGCCCAGAGCACGCTTATGGCCGGAGTAGGAGAGGCAAGGGCCGGGGGTGGCATGGCAGAGTTTGGGGTCCTGAACCCCTAAGTCAGGAAGTTTGGCCTCCGACGGGCGGCTCTCGCGGGCTGCATGCCGGCTTCCATGGCCGCTGCGTCCGCTTCTTTGCGCCCAAGGTGGGACCGGGAGCATCTCCAGTGCGCCTTCTCCCGCTTTGGGGCCGACTTTGTCAGGGGCCTGAGGCAGAGTCCCACCGAGGAGGTGGCAGCGGTTTGTTGCCTGCGCGCGCGCCGGGCGGCAGTCGCTCTGCCAGGCCGAAGCCTAGCAGTGCGCGGCCCACCACGGCCGACCCACGCCACCCGGCCCTTCCTCTTAGCCTGGAGCCTAGCTGGCCCGCCTAGAGGCCGCCCCCTCCCACTTCCATCCCCACCCACGCCAGCATAAGTGGCCAGATCCAGACTGGGAAGCCAAGGGCGCTAGTGACGATGTTAAAGGCGCGGGTTCCAGGGACTTGATCCACAGTCACCTATCCTTGGAGGCCCTCAGCTGTGGCTGGCAACAGGTGGTCTTGTGTGAGGTATCCAGCACCAACAGATGCTTGGGGGCAGAGTGACTTCCTCTGAAGTAGTGAGTGCCCCCACTCCAACCGCCAAAGATGCCTGGGACTCACCCAGGGTGGCTGACTACCACTGCATTCCAAAGCCACACTTACTCCCTCTTGAGGCCCAACCCTTTCTCGCACAGACCCCTGCCAAGCTGCCTATCCCACACCATCTCCCTCCAGGCTGGACTTCTCTGCCTGTGGATCAGGGACATTTGGCCTCCTGGTGCCAGGCAGGGAGTGGGGGGGGGAGCCTTGGGGCCCCAGAAGGATTACCCCACACACTATTCTGGCTCTGTATAAGGGAACCCACACCCCTTGCTCCTGTCTGGGCTTTGAGGGCATGGCCAGAATGTCTTGCTATAGCTGTTGGACTGGATGTGCCAGTGCTGAGGGGTTCAGGCAGGCTGCAGGGACAGCAGCCACGAGGATCCCAGCCCGGAGTCCTGGTTGACCGGGACTTGCTCATCCAAGTGACAAGTCAGGAAGCATCTGAAGTGGTAATGTTTGGGAGGAGGGCTTGGAGCTGGTGACTGCCTGGGAGAGGAAGACTACAGAGTGGAGCGTGGCCCAGGGCCTGAGGAGCATGCGCAATCCTTGGGGTGGCAGGGAAGGTGTGGGCAACAGGAGCACTGATGGGAGGAAAGCAAAGTCCAGCTTGTGGGCGCTCGTGTTGGTCCCTGGCTACCTGTGGTCCAGCTTGGCACAGAAGGGCATGGATGAGTAGTTTCCAAGGGGGAATCATGGTCATGTGGCTCAAAGGGGAGCTAGTGAGGCAGCAGAATGGGCTGCCTCTTGCCTCGCCTCCTGTTCCTCTTCCTCTTGCTCTGTAGCTTGCCCCAGTGCCCAGCAGTGTGTCACAGTCCTGCATCTTCCCAGAGGAATGCTTCAAGGATGACTAGCTTTGTGTCCACCAGGTCACGTTGAGTGCTTACAGCAGCCCAGAGGGAATACCATGCGATGTGGGCACGGCCCTTGGGAGTCGCTGTCAGCAGATGCTGGGCTTGGAGCCAGGGGGTGAGGGCAGTTCTTGCCTCATGCCCCTGCTGCGTGCATAGGGTGCAGGGCAAGAAGTTGTTGGCCTCCCAAAAGCTGTTGGCACCTTGGGTGGGAAGTGAGGACAGTGGGGGGTCACAGTTGGGAGCGGAGTAGGATGCCTGGGTGACTGCAGGTGGTCCCGAGCAGATCCCTGCCTTTGCTAGATGGTTTTTTGTTTTGTTTTGTTTTGTTTTGTTTTGTTTTGTTTTTACCTTTCAAAGCCTTTGTTTATGCTCAAACACAGGACTAACAGTTAACGTGTCTCACGCACAGTCGTGGGACCCAGAAGGGAGGGTCCAGGGGCCTCTGCCATGGCCCTGCTGTGTCTGGGTTTCATGAACACACATATCACACACATGAGTGTTCTCTCTCTGAATCCTGCCGGCAGCTCCCGGTCAGTCATCGGCCAGCTGTGTCATCTGATGTCCCTGTTGTAAGAGTGACCGCACTGAGGCTCCCAGGGGTGAGGTCCACGGAACTCCGCAGGGGGCAGACCAGCTCCTTCATCGCTGTCACTCATGGGGGTTGGAGATGTGTTGGTAGAAGTGATGGCCCCGTGTCCCTCGGCGACACGTCACGAGTTGTTGGAAGTCTTCAGGCAGATCACGTCTCAGGGAAGAACATGAGTGCTGGTGGTCCGCAAGGGGCAGGGCTGTTAGAAGTGCCTTCAGTCTGTGCAGTCATCCAGCTGAGTTTTATCAGGCTGATTCGAAGAGCAGCCCTTCTTGCTTGTGGCCCAGCCCTCTGCAGGCTGCTGCGCCGTGCTCACTGCCCACACCGCTTCTACACATGGTCTGTTGTCACCTGTAGAAGCAGGCTTCCCACAGGTGGGGATGTTTGGCCATTGTGTTTGTTGCTCTCCCATCCCCGGGGCTTAGAATGATGTCTAGCATTCCCTGAGCGCTGCAGCGTTGTAAAATGTTTTTTAAAATGTGAGATCCAGGATTATCATGGCCAGGGGTGTATCAGTCGACTGGAAATAAAACCTTAAGGTTCACGCAGAAACCGTTTCCTCAAACGTTGGGCAGATCCAATTTGCTCCAGCACCAGGAATGATTATGAGGGTCAAGGACAATGGAGATTATTTGTCTAGGACTTTAATGAAGTTTCCTGTCAGAAAGTGCAAAGAAATGTTTGCTTTTTAAAATTTTTTTTTCAAAAGGCAATAAAATTAGCTTTAAAAGTTTTCAGTGAGTTAAATATCACTGACTTAGTCACCTAATCACTTTATTTTTGCTGGCACCAACGGTGTTTTGCAAATCTTCATTGTAGTGATTTCAAATTATAAAAGCAATGTGTGTTCATTGTCGAAAATTTGGTAAGCTTGTTAAAAACAACATGAAGGACACAAAACTAGCTAATCTCCCCCACCATACACAGTAACTAAACATTCTATTTTCCTCCTAATCTGCTAGATATGAATACATCCTGGGGGATTTTTTTTTTCTTTTTGTAAAACACAGATCGTGCTATTAGGCACAGTTCTGTAACCTGGCTGCCGTTTTAATGGTTTGGGATTTTTCTTCTTTGTATTATAGCAAAGGCATGTTGTTAGACTTCTCTAAGTGTGGGGTTTCACAGCTGGCCCGTATTCCACTCTAAGTGGATACCATCCTTGCGCAGCCTGCTCTCCACGACTGGGGCAGTGCTCATGTGTGAGTCCTCCGACATTTGCTGAGCCCTCACTCTGGCCTCACTACATCCCTCGTCATGACCTGTGGCAGGTGTTATGCAGATGGCTCATTCATACAGCCAGGAAATCCAGCCTTCTGCAGGGGAGTTGGGGAGAGGATGCTGCTGATTCCAGAGAAGGCTGTTGCTGGCGAATTGAGGCACCATGGAGCCCTGGCTCGCTCCCGAATTGCCCTGCCCTGCCCTGCGCTGCCCTGCCCAGGAGAGCCACAGGTGGCCACAGGCAGAGTCAGCAGGCCTCCTGGCCCAGCCTGTCTGACATGCAGGAGCCCTTTGCCAAAAGCAGAGCCGTATCACCTGCTTTCAAACCTAAGCACCTCGTGCCCCTTGCTTTGCTGCTGTTTCTCTCTCCCTCCACCACGGCTGCGTTCCTTCGTCCCTCCGTTCCATCACAGGGCATTTGGAAGCAAGTCCCCAGCCAAGTTCCAGCCTCAGTCATTGTTCCTATAACAGGACAAGAGCTTGTTGTCACCCCTGGACCTAGCCTGGGCCTCAAGGAGGCTGGTGTGGCACTTGCCAGCTGAGTGCAGCCCCCCAAAGGCCCTGGCATTTGTGCCTTCTTTCTGGCTCGGCATACCCACGAGTCTGTGGTGCCCTGGTGAGATGACATCCTATGTGCCAAGCACTGAGGCAGGTGCCAAGAGTATGGTAATTGTTTG